GGGGGGGGGGGGGATAGGGAACAGAAGCCATGTGAGGGAAAATTGGCAATGGCTGGATCAGACCTGGTCACTGCCAGAAGCACAGCCATTTAGTTGACCAACAGGACAATGGCCTGTTGATTAAATTTTATTTTACATTAGTCAATTTTCAATGTTTACAAGCATACATTCAGATACCGCTTAGCTTTCCTTGTTAGGTACTGTTTATTGGATCCCTTCGGGATACTAAAAAGCCAGAAGTTGTAACCCTTAATGGGAAAGAAGGAAACCATGGAATTCATAACAAGGAAGTACAAGAAAAGGATGTGGAACATGCCATCAAATTGGGTAAAAGACTTGCTAATATTGTAAAACGTCCTAATAGATCAGGTTCCAAGGTATGGATTTCCAGTTCTATGTTGTATAGATGTTTTGAACGAACATGATATCATATGTACCATTTGAAACTTTAACCTTTGTTGGTTATCATGATGTAGGCATCAGATGGGAATGTTGGACCAAAAGAATGCATTCTTTTACTTGGGTGGCGCCCTGATGTTGTCGAAATGATTCAAGAGTATGATAACTATCTTGGTCCTGGAAGTGTTTTGGTATGTCCTCATATATCTTGGAATCTTTGTTGATCTGTACTTTGGTGAGTGTATGATTGGGAAGAGAAACTTTTAAGGAATTAAGCTGGTTTACTGTTTGCTATATTTGTGTTAATCTAAAATGCATTATCCCTCCAACTAAATACTTCTGCTGTTGATGTGGATTGATCTTAATTTTGAACCACGAGGAGATTCATGACAATGGAGATTGTTTAGAATTTAACATACTGCATGCTATTTTTCCCCTTCTTTATACATTATATATGCATTCATTTGGAAGTTCAATATTTACCATTTCTGGTCATAAATAATATGCAGGAGGTGTTATCAGACACACCATTGGATGACAGGATTATTAGGTCAAGCAACATCAATGTCAATGGTCATAACAAACTCAAGAATGTCCGAGTTTCTCATAGGGTATTGTCTAGTGTAGTCAATTAATATTTTTAAATTTCTTTTAGTACAGTCCTGCTTTCGATACGAACTGTCACTTCTTTCAATTTGGCAGATTGGGAATCCCATGGACTATGACACCTTAAAGGAAACCATTTTGAATATTCAGAACTCATTAAAGAATGAAGATGTACCAATGTCAATTGCTGTCATATCTGACAGAGAATGGCTTCTTGGAGGTAATTATGCATAAAGTTTTTTGTGACTAAAAAATGGCCTATGATTGACTATTCTTTTTTCAGATCCATCAAAGGCAGACAAGTTGTCTGCCTATTCTCTCCTCCTTGCCGAAAATATCTGCAACAAACTTGGAGTTAAGGTGATGTTTTTACCTTCTTTCTCTTGCATATTTTTTACGCTGATAGAAATTGTTCATTTTGAAATATTAGTTATTCTAATGAGACAGAGGTAAAGCATAGTTGGATTGAATTGGATGTTTTGCAGGTGCAAAATCTAGTTGCAGAAATTGTTGATTCAAAGTTGGGGAAACAGGTAATTCTCTTGTTTTTGTTTAACCTTTCGAATTTTATATTGTGGTATGTTTTGACGACAGTATTAATATAAAATGTTGCAGATTACTAGAATTAAGCCATCAGTGACCTACATTGCAGCAGAGGAAGTTATGAGTCTTGTAACAGCTCAAGGTCAATAATATGTGTTCTCTTCTTGCTTGAGTTTTAACAGTTGTCGTTGTGATCTATTTCGTGTATCCAAGTTAAATTTATTTTTCAAACTTGAAAAACAGTGGCCGAGAACAGTGAACTGAATGAAGTTTGGAAAGACATACTAGATGCAGAGGGAGATGAAATTTATGTCAAGGTAATATGTATTCATGTTGTCATGTTTTTTTCTGTAAACATTCAACCCAAGAAAACGTGTGATTTACCGATACTTTGGTGTCATGCCTTTCTTTTGAATTTTTCCTACCATACCATTTTGTTTCATGGACGAATTCCTTCCTTATCAGTTATCACCCTACATTCCTTTTGAAATAATATACCTTATGAAAATGAAGAAATGATAAATTGATTTGGCCTATGAGCCAAACACATGGCCTTTAAACTGGAACATGAGCGTCAGCCTGCTGGATAACAATTAACAAATGAAACGAACAATACTGAGGAATGAGGACCCTTTTAATTAATGTCTGCTTGGTTGCTGTTGTAGCAATGCAGTTGACTCTCATTTGTTATTGCAGGATATTGACCTATACATGAAAGAAGGAGAGAATCCATCATTTTCTGAGCTTTCCGAGAGAGCATATTTACGGAGAGAAGTAGCTATAGGATACGTGAAGAACAAGAAAAATGTATGCCAACAGCACTCTCAAATTTATTTTTAGTACTACTTAATTTGAACAATACTCACACGCCTTTCTTCCCATTTGCAGGTAATCAACCCAGTTCCCAAGTCTGAACCCCTCTCTCTTGAAATGAGTGACTCCTTGATAGTCATATCTGAGCTGGAAGGAGAGCAACCAGTGGTTTTGTAATGCTGAAAGCTTTTTAATCATGTGAAGAAAAGTTTTGGAAAACTCTGCCCCCCAAAATTTGGGGCCATTCATTTTGATGATTGCATCCAGGTGATTGATTGCTATTTGGGATGATGTTTTAGGACTTGACTTTCAGTGAACATGTTCTAGGAATCTATTTATCTACCAACTATGTCAAGTCAAGTCTTGCTGGTCAAATTGTTACTGCTCCTGTTTGCCACTTATTAGTTCACTCATACTAGATCAATGTTCAGCTTCTCGGGTGCAGAAAATGGAAGAAATGTATTTCTAATAATTCTATTGCTATATGATGGATTTTTATAAACCAAAGTTCCTCTGCAATAATCATAAATAAAAAAGAGTAGACTTAACTAATTCTTCAAGTTGCTCAATAATTTCAGTTCAATTTTTGCATTCAAAAATTTTCTAATTAGTGGTAGTGTCATCGTCAATATCATCATCACCACCATTGTCGCTATTGTTACTACTATCACCATCATTGTTGTCGTATGATGATGACGACGATGGTAAAGTCAATGACAACAATAACAAATGATAATAATGACGGTGGTGACAATAGTGGAGTTGTGACCACCACCACTACTACAATCGTTGTGGTAGTGATGATGATGGTGATTGTGGTGGTAAAGATAGTATCAACGATAAAGACTACAATGGTAATGATGGTAGCAACATGGTTGTCATTGTCATCACTACCACCACGATTATTGTGACAACAATAAAGTAATGGTGATACAGACAACAATAATAATGACGATGACAATAATGATGATGGTGTAACGATGACAATGACAACGATAATGACAATAATGTTGATGATGGTGGCAATGGTAACATTGTCGCTATGACCATTGTGGCGATAATGATGATGGTGGTAGTTAAAACGGTGACAATAGTAATAATGACAATGGTAATGATGATAATGGTGATAGTATTGTCAACATTGTCGCCACGACCATTTTGACAATGATGATGGTAAAAATGGTGGAGATAGTGATTACAATGATGATGATGATGGTGATGACGGAAATGGTGGTGTCGTTGCCATTACCACAATTGTCACCATGACAACCACTAATGAAGAGACAATGAAATGATGAGATTCAAAAAAAAGGAAGAAACTATTTTGTCGATATAGTTTATGCCACCATGTTTTTATTTTGTTGGAAAATATTGAGAAAACTTTGGGGGTGTATTGGTTTAGGATTTCGTAAGATTTTAAAAGACTTTTTTTGAGTAAAAAAGTCTATTGGTATTCAATCAGGATTTTATGTCACTTAAAAACAATCCAGTTGTATTCAATCTGGATTTTCAAGATTTTTTTAAAGAATCCATTAAAATTCATTGGTATTCATTTGAGATTTTTTACAACTTAAAAATAATCCATTGGTATTAAAAAATATAAGGATTTTAAAGGATTGTTGTGTGAGAGGGATTTTGAAAAAGACTTTTTAGTGCTATCTATAAATACCAAATTCATAAAACAATCCCATCCAAACCCATTGGATTTTGAAGGATTGTTTGAAATGACTTTTCAAGTGTTTTAAGAATTTTCAAGTGAGTTTTTCATCTTTTTTTTTCTATGCTTCTATCTTCTCCATTTTTTCTTTGCTAATAGTACTGCACTTTTTTCATTGTTCATATATAATATTGTAGTATTGTTCTCATTCCATTCTTCTATTCTGTGAAACTCTAATATGTAAATGATAATGTCATTGACTTGCTCTATTTTTGTGTTCGTTCTTTTTAATTGACTTGTTTTTATTTTATTCTATTTAGTTGAATTTGTTCATTTATATAACATAAATAAATGCTTGAAATTTCAACTTTTAAGTGATAATTTTTTTCATAACACACGTCAAGAAAAGGAAAAGGTGAAAGATGAAATTGATATCATGATCCTTACAATATATATATAGGGTTTCTGTGAGTAGAATGAGATGAAAATGGAATTTAGTTGGGGGAAGAACCCTCTCAGCAAAAAACTACAATCTCTCCTTCCCTTGAGTTTGTTATTCTTATCCCTCCTCCTTTTATGACTCAACAAATATTTTATTTTTTCTATGAATTTTTCTTTTTATTTTTATATTGTGAAATTAGAATTTTTTTATATTTAAAAAAAAATTAACATAAGACATTGCGGTATCTAATTTTTTAGGGTTTAGGGTTTATGCCTTCATTAACTTATTTTAAAAAAAGGAAATATTGTTAAAATATCATCTACAAGATTTTGCAGGTCAAGGTAATGACCTTAAAAATAAGAAAGAATTGTTCAATCTTCGTCATGCATCTTTAAGGAATGTGATCGAGAGAATATTTAGTATTTTTAAATAAAGGTTCACAATTTTTAAGTAAACACTACATAACTTTCTACATAAAGAATGTCGTTCTAATGAATTTCCAATTGAAGCGGTGGATGAACCTTCATCTTCAACACTACCAGTTAATGAAGATCATACTTTTGAGCCTATTATTCAAACACAAGAGCAAGAGTAGAAGACGCTAAAGTTTGGAAGACTAGTATAGCTATGAATATTATTATTTTTTTTTATTTTTGTTTTTGACTCTTTTTAAATTTGAATGTATGATTTTTTTTTTGAAATCTTATCAAATGTCAAAAATCCAGGAAAATTCTACAAAATCTCACAGAATCCATTAAAATCTTGATTTAAAAGTTTTGCAGAATCCATTAAAATCCTAATTTTAAGTCTTGTAAAATCCTGCAAAATCTTAAAAGTCATGAAAATTATGCAAAGTCTTTTAAAATCTGCAAGATTTTTTTTAACTAAAAAAATCATTTAAAATCCTAATCTAATACACCCCCCTTTGTTTTGTTTTTAATTTTGACTTTCATTTTGAAAATGTTTTCATAGAAAATATTTTCTAAAACTTAAGCAAGCATGTTTTCATCACTATTTTTCATTTTCACTAAAAATGAAAAAGAAAATAAACATACCAAACAATCCCTTAGTTTCTCTTTGGTTTGTTCTTTAAAAAATAACATTCCCCATTGTACCGAATAGATTTCAGATCATCCTATTGAAAACATGTTGGTTATAATCACAATTCCATAAGGTTGATATCTTGGTTACATATCAAAAGAGTTCGAATACTAATCGGCATATTCGGTAGAAACCACTCTTGATCCAAATAATCATCAACTTGCTAAGGATTTTATTTTCGTGGTTGTTTAGCAAATGATAACGTCTGACTGTTAACAATTAAATATCTTGAATGCATTTTAATGTCTTGTGGACTAATGGTAATATTTTTTCTCCTATATATACACTTGTATTTTTCCTTCTTAAGATAGCCTTGTTCTTAAGACTACACTCGTACCCTCTGATTACTTACTAACTTTAACATCAAAATCCCTTTTATAATTACAACCACTAATTTGAGGATTGAAGACTTTGAAAGAGGACGAATATACATCAACAAAAATTGACTGAAAATAGTTTTATATAGGTATCTCACACAATTATTCCCAAAAGAGATGAAAATATAGCATTTTCGAATTACAAAATAAAGTGTTAAAGAAGTAAAATCTTGAATTCTCAAAAAAAAATTTATAAATATTTTTGGAGATATGATTTTCATAAATAATAATTTCAATCATAAAAAAAATTTGCCATACAGACCCCCTCTAAATATGAAAGAAGAAATTGATGACAGTTAATTGAAATAATTTTGTGAAAATAAATTATTTAAAAATAAAAAATAAAAAAATGTTAACAAAATCCTTTAAAATTAAGAAAATTAATATCTTTCTTGTAACCTCGATTTAAGGTACAACGATTATCGGAAAAAAATTGTAGTATTCCTATTCCTATTCCTATCCAGGCTGAAGTGATTGTTGAAAATCAAACGTTAGAAGGGAGGGTCTGGATATAAGTGGTTGAAAGGAAAACATAATAAAATTTAAAAAAGTTATATATAAAAGCTCAGAGCAAAACCCTCGGTGTGGTTTGGCGGTGCAGTGTATTATAGGTCATAAGACGAAGAAGGGACTCAGAAGAGAAAAAGTGAGATTGATTTGATTTGAGAGAAGAGAGAGAGCCATGGCTCACGGTGCTTACAGCAAGCGGCGCGTGAGCGCAACGCGTCGATCCAACTCCAAGCCTCTCGGCATCGCCAAGAAGCCCAAGCCCAAGCCCAAGCCCAAGCCCTCCGTTTCCCTCAAAAATCAGATTCGATCCATCGAGCGCATGCTCCGAAAGGTAACCCTAACCCTAACCCTATTTCATCTTTTCCATTACTTTCTATTCATTTCTCCGAATTCGTAAAGCAGAGTTTGCCTCCCGAGGCGCGAGAGGCGCAGGAGCAGAAGTTGGAGGGACTGAAGAAGCAGCAGGAGATTCACACGCGCCTCGCCGCCGAGCGTAAGATATTCCTGCGCGACCGCAAGATCAAGTTCTTCGAGAGGAGGAAAATCGAAAGACGAATCAGACGCCTCGAGAAATTGCACCGTTCTTCTTCTTCTTCTTCCTCCTCCGCACAACCTTACTCCGACCAGCTTTCCGCTCTCAAACAGGATCTTCAATATGTCATGGTCTGTATTACGCTGTTTTTTTTTGTCGTGTTGACATAGCCAGAAATGTTGACTTAAAATCTGTTGTTGTTCTATTTCTGTTTGCAGTACTTTCCCAAGAATGAGAAATACGTTCCTTTGTTTACCGGCGGCGATGATTCGGAGATTATTGACAGGAGAATGGGCTGCGCAAACAGATTGAAGATAGGTTAATTGCAGCTGCTGCAAGTGGCAAGGATTTAGAAGGTTCGTTTATTTTCATGATTCGTGCCGTCATATATGAGTTTAGAATGTTGATGCTCTACGAGAGATTTGTTTTAGTTGTGTGAGCCCTAGATGAAATTGTTGGTTGAGTTTGGTTCTGTGTGGATAAATTTTTCAATAAAAACTTACAGAGAAGAAAATGAGCACAGAAAATGAATTAAGCTTCTCTTATAAGTTAAAATTAAATGAGTGGGATTCTATGAATTAGCTAATGAATAAGCAAATTTGAGCTTATGGTAGAAGTTGAATTCATTTTACCTTCTTATTTTCTTCTCTAATAAGTATTTATTGAGAAATTTTTTCACACGGGCCTGTCAAAAAAATTAGGAAAACTAGGTCAACCCGCATCGATGTGCCTGAAGCTCTGCTTTGTATTTTTAAAAAAATAAATATGCCTCTGTGTTTATGCTGCATTCCCGTTCCATAAATTGTCAACTTGATTTTGTGCTGTTGTCAGAGACTGGCAGTGAGGATGACGGTCTTTTGGATCTGAGTGATGATGATTTTTTCCTTGCTGGGAGTTCTAGTGATGAAGCAGATGCAGATGATGAATGGACAG